CGACCTGCAGGGGGGTTGCGCTTCCTCCCATCACCAACGACCGCTAAGCTCGCAACGGCACGTGGTTCGGATGTTACGAGGGAAATTTTTCAACTAACAATCTCTGCGGAATACCTGATGCAGTGAATATTGTATAACTGAAACCGTTTCAACTTGGATCTTTAATTACGAGATTTTAGACAAAATTATTCGTTACTTTGTCATTCAATTATATTTACTCTGTCATCTTCAGTGCTTTAATAGTTTCCATAGCTTGTAAAATACGCTATCCACGTGTAGGTAAATATCAAACTTCTGAACTCACAAACCTAAGTCCGGTGGAGATCAACCACACGGCACTCAAGTGCTGCAGAATTGTATAGCTGTAGTAGTTACTATTAGCTCAATTATCTGTCTAGCATGAATCGTGGACGTAGGTGACAGAACATCAGATTAATTTGGAACAATCAAATTTTATCTGCAACGGATTTGGCTGAGTGGTCTACGGATTAATTTGATTATCAATGTTGCCCACAGATAAATTGTCATTCAATTTGAGTGAGCAACGCCGAATTCCGTTGGCTGTATAAAATCGGTTGCGAGCTTATCACTTATACGAAGAACAGAAGCAATCATATAGTTTGGGAACATTTAACGAGCTTTATCCTAAGCTAACATTTGATCAATTCACTAAATGTAGTAGTATTTTCTACGTATTTTCCCTTACCTTACAAACTAACATACTTTATTGCCGTTACAAAGGGTATTTAAACTTTTTTCAGAATTATTTCAAAGTTTAATTAAAATATATCTCGTTTTAAACCGTTAAAGTTTTTTATTGAAATGTGTACTACTCGCGTTAACTACAGACGGTATTTAATCTATTGTAATCATTTTAAGGCTACACGGTCATGTGTGTCTTCTAAACTGTCATGCAATTGAATAAAACACTCTGAACGGTGTAAAATTTAGAATTAATATAAAGAAAACAATTTTAACAGCTTTAAACGGTAAAGTAATCAATTAATCTACTTTTAATTAATTTTCATTATGGCTCAACGTTTCCTCGTCTTGTTCTGCCGTGACCACGGTTTCTGCAAACAACCGAAACATCCGAAAAATTAAGTCAACTTATACATTTCGCGTGTTAAACAGTTGTAAGTATTTAAATATGTACTACTATATAAACTACTGACGATACTCGCAATATATAAATGCGACCCCATATTTCGGATGCTTCATTATGTCGTGTTTTCAATTTGAACCAATTCGGTACAGGATAGACAATATCGCGTATTTGAAAAATATGAGTTAAGCGATAAAAGATTGGATTGAAATTTATTCATTCGAGCAATGAATACTGATTGCCATTCTGAGAGTGCGGTGGCCCGTATTGTCCCACTTACATCTAAATCGTTGAAGATGTTGTCCTTCTCTATCAATCTTAAGATAGAACAAATCTGTTGTTAAGTCGCGCTCTCCCTCGTTCGGACAGACAACATAATGCAAGTTTAAATTAATTAATGTAGCCTTCGCTAGCTTATGATAATATAAGCGTTAAATTGTTTATCTAATACTGAATTGAGGATTGCATAAACGCTAACTAATTAAATAGATCACAAATAACCAAACATCATAACAAATTAAATAGAGACGGATCTAGGCTTATTATAAAAATAGAATAGATATACTAGTAGAAAGTAAAATTTGTAAGTATAAGTAAGAAACATTCATTAGTGTAAGTTTATAGTGTAGCATCCGTAATAAATGCTTTTTCATTTTATTTAAATTAAATTGATGACCTAGTATACATTTTATTAAAACTAGATAGTACACACATGACCTAACTAGAGACAGATGGCTAAAGTAACAGAGTACTCTATAGTACTAGTATGTAACATTGATACTTATAAAAAAATTCCAACACTGACAGAGAACAGAGTAAAATGGTAAAGGGATAAGCCACCCAGTTTGTGCTGAATTAGATTGGAATTTATATTTGACGGCACAATAGAGAAATATAAAAATGGTAAAAAATACAGACAGTATTATTAAGGTAAAAAACTTATTTTTTGCAATTATCGCCATTTTGTTGTATTGTATAGTTTTTCTTTTCTGGCCACTGTAATTCCTCTCCATATCTGTATATGAAACAGATTGGCCATTTTACTCGCTTCATTAAATGTATTCGTAATCATTAATAAACAAGTTTTATTTTTCTGCCCTTGTGTCTTTGGGTCATATTTTATCTAACAAGCAATGTAATCTAACTATCTTAAAGTAAATGTTTTTAAAAGAGCAAGTTATCTTTCACCTCTTCAGCTTTTACTTATTTCGTCTTTGAAACTTAAGCAAAGAAATAAAAAAGTACGCCGTCATATTTATATAATTTCTACTAGGCTCGCTTTACTAACTTGTAGAATTACCCCCCGGAACAGCGAACATGGCAACCATTTCACCCCGGATAACCCTCAATAGATGTGATGACATCAAGTCATTTGCTCATTACAATTTTATCACAAGTCAACACAGATAAGATAAATTTTCCATTGAACTAATCGTAAATAGACAGATGCGTTTTGTTTGTGTAAGTCAAGTTGATTATTTTCTAGTCGGAGATATACCTTGGGTAGGAACTTTGAAATGCGGTTAAGACAACTTGGATTACAGAAACAGGAAAACCTTATGAGGATAGCCCAGAATACGCATGTTATGATTACAAGCAAGGAAAACACAGTGAAAAACAAAAATCAACCCACACCCACTGGATTGAACGCGGAACCCTTGGCAAAGAGATCGATGCGAAATCGAACTGCGAGCCAAGAGTAGAATATCTCAAGGTATCATTATTGTTATCATCGGTTCAAACGTCTCTACACAAAGTACTTAAGAAATGCGGCAGAATTGTAACTCACAATCGTACCACGTTGAGTGCACACAGTTGCCAAAAACAAGGCATCACATAAGTGTTTAATCTAATTAACAATTTCGTAAGATTATTTATAGGTGAAGTTAAAATTAACAATAAATGTATTTGAATTTACAAAGTTCAACATTCAGGTGATTTTGAGATTTCGCCCGCTGACATAATCTATACTATATTATAAATGCGTAAGTAACTCTGTCTGTCTGTCTGTCTGCCCGGCTTTAACTCCGAAACTACTGAACTGATTTAAATGAAATTTGGTACACAGGCTTGGCTTTTTGGGAATAGGAGTGGGAGTGGGAGTGAGAGTGGGAGTGAGTGTAGGAATGAGAGTGGGAGTTAGAGTAGGAATGATGTGAGGTGAGTGTTGCGGCAAAGTAGCACTTACAACATAGATTGGCTGCCTTAAATGCGCCCTTACATACATTAATAAACAGCCTAAAATAATTAAAAATTCTACCCCAACTCACTATCGCACGCGGACGAAGTCGCGGGCACAGCTAGTAAAGAATATTTTTTTCTTTGCTCTCAAAGTTTTAGGCAAGAGAAAAAATATAACAACAATACAAATTTTACTTATAATAATAGCATTTCACAATATTTTCACACTTTCGAATTCTGAAGCTGTTTATGTTGGCAGAGATACCGATATAAATAATGAATGTTAAAAATACAATCCACATGGTGCATAATATCATGTAATTGATAATTTTAAACAGTATTATTATCATTCTCAGTACGATTCATGTTATATTTTGAGACGTCTTGGATACATAATATACATACTACATATAGCTCTCTATATTCTATTATATGTAAGTTTTCAAAGCTGTATAGTTTTATTGGTGACCTCGAGACCGTTGGACAATACCCGAGGTCTGAATATAGGCCGTAAAAGCGATACGACTCAGAGAGCATTTTCAGTAGTAGTGATAAAGAATTTCGTGGGCGAATATCACAGGAACTTGATATAGTAAAAGATTGAAAAGTTTTCAATGATTATGATCAAGCACAAGTAAATTCATGAGTTATTTTATGATATTAAAGACCTAGACAAAACTTTAAAATGTTGTAAGCAAAAAAAAACAAATTCATGTTTGTCCCGTAAACGAGGCGAAAGGGAAAATTGTAACAGAGTAATAGCATCGTAAAAATATGATGAAACGTCAACGACACCTAGAGACGACGAAAGTCCTGTAAAGTATCTCTAATCCGGGCTTCGCTTCTATAAAGCAATGGGTTCTCCTTATAACGAAACTTAATTGAGTTGAATAAGTCCTTACAAACAGAAATTAAATACCATTATCAAGATTTAAACATTTTGATTAAAAAATGAAAGGACATTTAAGGTTAGCGAACTACGGCATTAAACAAAATTGCCTTGGAAAAGGAAGTACTATTTCGGAATGTATTTGAGGTCTGTCGAGCAAATTGTTACATAAGTCGCCACAGGCCGCTCTGAGGATTACGAACTAGCGTCCCTTATCGCCGGGCCTTATTTCAGAGCCTACCAGTTCGCGTTTTACGAGATCACCGGCCTACAGAGGGATATCCATTTACTTTTATTGTTTCCCCAAGAGTGCAAGTTGAGTAAATTTTGCGACCCCAATTTTATATACTTAAATAATCAAAAGAAAGGTTTAATTGCAAAAGACTCCGGTAACAAGTACAGCGTTAATTAAGATTTATTATTGCTCCCATTGTCCCAGAAACACTCGTGTTGATTACACGAAGCCGCTGAAGCGTCTACAAAACTTTACGAGGCCTCCATCTCTTTCGCGAGCAATATTTTACATTCCGACGTTCGCTGATTGGCAGTTATGCAATAAACTTAATGAAAGAGCTCCTAACAAAGTTACTGAAATTGAGTGATCAAGATAAGGGAACGTTCATTATAACGTCGTTTATAGCTAGCATAAAAAGCCATCACGTGATCGATAGACCATATTATAGCATTAAACGAAAACGTAATCAAAGCGGTACTTACCTTAGCGATAGGAATCTCCGTTAAAGAAACGCTGATTCGGGAACATTTGTTATTATTCCGTTTTTTTTTAATCCATGTACGATGCAAACGCCTTAAAACTACACCTACCTTATGACGTAGTTGACGCAGACGACGCTGACGGGCTTCTGTTGTTTGTCGGTGATGACTGTGGCCTGGGTCTGCACCCAAGCGTAGCCGCCGGATTTGGCAAGGAAGCGATATTGCCCAGTTTCGCATTGTCCTTTCGAGAACACTGCAAGAAAATTGACCTTTAATAGGGGACCGATCGCAGGACTAAGTATATAAATTGAAATCTGATTTTTGTGACAAATTGGATTCGTCTCAAATGATCTGTCACATTTATCTCGATTTAATCGAAGGCGGCTCGATCTGAGAACATTGGATAAAAAAGAACGCTTCTGAGCATCTAGGGTATAATTTAGTTCAAGCCATAAATAATGTTATTAAAAGGACATCCAATCCGAAACTCGATTAATATGAGGAATTCAGATTAAAAGGGTTCGTAGGGATTAAACGTAACAATAGCGTTATTATGAGATGCAATATTTGTCTGTTTATGTTAGAAACCGAGTGAAATTTAAGCTGGGTTTGAACTGGAATTGGATTTCGACATACAAATTGAATTCTTATTGAATTTATCATACATAATATACCGTGGAATGTATTATACAAGCGGGACACGCTCAAAGTTATTATAAAAGTATATCTATCGACTGTGCTAATCGGTTTTTGAAAGCCTGGTTAGTATCTACTATAGCTATACATTTATTAAAGTAAATACATATTATAAAATACAATTCTATTGGGTCAAAAGAAATGAACACATTTACAATGTAGGGAATGTGCACAACATTGGTTTCCTTCTTAAGTAACATCGCCCTTACTACTAATGACTTGGATTCGTAGCTTTGTTCTCAGATTTTTCGTATGAAACCATTTTAATTTTTATAATAAGTATTATGTTAATATTTATATGACTACACTAATCCACTAGTTCTGGTTTCTTATATATAATTTAAAGAATGTTATTATTATTACATTTTTGAGTAAGATTTTTCATAGAAGCAATTAAAGATGGGAACAAAATGTAAACAGTGTGTTTAAAGATGGCAGTAAGTGTTATTTTACGTCGCATTGGCGCTTCATTAGGCTAACGCTTGTGTTGTCAAAAAAAAATGGATTGTTTCCGGCTACCACGAGGTGAAGGCGTGTAAATATTTTAGAGTGAAGACTCGATTTTAATATTTTATTGTTACTAGCGGCTAAGCTGGCAGAGCACCAGCTTACATCGGTTTTTTGACAACCAATAATCACAACACATAACAAACTAAGGTATAGTTATTGGTGTATTATGATTTATTTATAAGTGCTGGCTATAAGTGTCAAGGTCTCATGGTACTTATATCACAAAGACATCTTACTGAAAAAGGTATGATGATCTATGCAGCTTTTATTAAAAGTAATTTACATTCTAAGAAACACAATTTATATTATTATATTGGGCAATAAGGAAACTTTCAGTGCACATTGCCATAATAGAAAAAAGTTTGTATTTTATAATAAAATGAAGTGTTCTTGGTATCTGTAATTAAATATGATAGTCTAACAGCCATGCTTAAGGCCTAGATAAATAGACTCTCAAGAATTAGTTATAAATATATAAACAGTTCTAGTTTACAACAGTTGTATCAAAGAGAGTAAGGACCAGGAAGATTTAACTTCAAAGAGTTTGTGCACTCGAATATAATTCCAGCACTCGTAAAGTAATACGGACACGACGTATTTATCATAATTCCACGCTGATATTACGATTATGTCACTAAAGATAAAAATATGCGAGTCGAGTGGTTCATTGAACTGCCGCCAATGTGTATTTGAGTATTTAGCGGGAGTTGCAGAATTTTGTAATGCACAATTATTTGCTTGCTAGTGTCGCGTGTTTAAATCGTGTCGTATTTTAAAAGAATGCAAAACAAAACTGAAATTGCAGACAACGATTGGAAGAAATGAAATTATAAGAAAATGTTATGTTAAATAATAATTGTACTTTACGCGAGTAGTGCAGTACGGTTTAAAACGCGATATATATTACCTAAACTTATTTGAAAATCATTTTAACTAATATGTATCGCATTTAAATCGTTAAAGTGTTTTATTTAAAAATGTTATGTTGACATGTTAAATCCTTCTTAAGTAGTAATAAGACTATATTTTATGATTACTCCACAATATTGATACACAGTAGAGTTTCTATTACAGAGTAGTAAGTTAATAATTAAAAGACATAAAAAATTAAAAAAAAAACATATCTATTATTTTTTTTGCAACACATAAAAGGATGAATAACATTAGATAATACACTTTTAACGGGTGAGAAGGCGAAACACTCGTCAATTAATTATTGTATTTTTAATACAATTATTAATTGATAGGGATAGGGGGATACGGGGGACAGTAGAGTTAGCAGTCAAAAGGAGGAGTATTTAACAGATAGGAGGCAGTGGCCTTCTATTAAATGTTACTATTGTATAATAGTAAGAAGAATCAATCGAGCTTCGTAATTCTTCGAGCAATCGAGGGGTTAACATTTGATGATGCCGTCCGCACGTGATGGCGAAACGTCGAGAACCTCTTCTCGCTCACATCGGCCGAACAGCCCGAAAGACAATGATTTGCTGAACGATGGCCGTGAAAGCCTTACAAAATTTACTCATTTAGGTAGTTTTACTAAATTTCCATAAACAATAACATTGAAGTTATAATAATAAATATAGAATGTTTATAATGCGAGAGGAACCGGGGAATCATAAAAACCGAATCGGGTTAAATGCTCTTGAAAATGACCGCTTTGCTGTATTTTTAACGTAAGTAATTGCAAATAAAATTGCACGACGTCAGGCGACTTTGCAATCGCGTAGTAGGTGGGGCATTTATTACATTTGAGATCATCTACTTGGATTTAATGGATTTAGATGTGTCCTCTTTACTAACTATCAAGAAGAATTAAGAACACTATTTTGCTACTGAAACTTCAGTGTAAAATAGAAAAATAAATCTATTTTCCGTGGTGAAAACTGGACTATTTTCTATTTATTAAATATAGAGTTTATTCGTCTGAGCACGCCAATATCAAGAAATACTGGTTCAGTTAGAAAAAAAAATGTGTTGGAGCTAGTTGGAATAAATATTGAGGAAAGCTTTAGAAACATCCGTCTGGGCCTAATAGGAGCTAAGTAACTGATAGACATATGGAAAAAAAGGGGAAAATTATTCATCTTGAGGGGTTCCTTTGCGTGGGCTGCGAAAACGAGTCTATCTAAAAAAAGATGTACACAAAGGAAGCCTTCTTTGAAAAATCTAGAAAATGTATACCGTTTTACGGTTCTTGTGAGTTAGACACAACAAGTACAAATGTAGTCGAAATTTATGGCGAAAAAACATTTGCCAGGTTAGCTAGTATCTATATAATATTATGTATGTACATTCAATACGATTTGTCAAAAGTGGAAACTCTTTAGTTTGGAACTTTTTAGTAAAATTTTCGTTCCATTAAAAGAAACTACAACAAATTATTTTATACGCTTAGGGTTCAGTATCGCTCACCATTTTTACGGCTAATAAAGACTGAACAGAGGATTCATCGCCTTTAAATTAAAATCGATTAGAGTTTAGAAAATTGTCCTCAATTATAGATTATATATTTTATATAATCTATAATAGGACAAAATATATATATAGATTATATATATTTTGTCCTCAATTATATATATAGACGACAACAGTAAAACTGTTTGCGTTCAGACGTCCAAACACCATTTAATTACATCAGATATCGTCTCTATATCGATTCATTTCATTTGCACAACCTGTTCACGCTTCAGCAAACAATCATAACGTTTTTTTAACTATCACGCTGCTTTTATCGACTCTGGGGTCAGACAAATTAAAAAAGCTGAGGTCATGTGAACTATACAGTTTATTGATATTTATAAAATGGCTTCAATTCAAGTAGCAACAGATAATATGTACAAATGATGTAACCGTTAAATAGCCGTGGAATAGTTATTTCGGGCATCAATAATGACAAACAAACACCTCGGCTTTATAAATTACTAGCTGTGCCAGCGACTTCGTCCAGGAAAATCGCTATTTTAGGCATCCAAATTCGTTTTTGCAAACTCCTCTAAAAACTTAAGTTCTTAGCCACGCCGTCGATCGCGTCCCTTCGTTCTCGCAAGTTAATCTTAAAAGATAGACAATAGCGTCGCAGATTTTTTTTAGATCATTTAAAGAGGCTCTAATCATTAAAAAAATTAATAATTTTTCAATTCAAACTTGTTCCTGAGATTAGTGCGTTCAAACAAACAAACTCTTCAGCTTTATATATTAGTATAGATAGCTGTTACCTACGTTGTTGTGTCCCGTCATTTTTACGAGTTAATCTTATATAGTCGCAGACATTTTTAGATTACTTACAGAGGAATAGTTCTTTAACACATTTCCAGAAACGTTTTCGCACTTTTTATCCTCGTTTTCTATCGTTTCTTCGCTCTTATTGGCCGCAGCGCAATGTTATATGTACATAACCTTCCTCGATAAATGGTCTGACTATATGAATGCCACAAAAATAATTGTTTAAGTTGTAAGCTCCCGAGATTAGTGAGTTCAAACAAAGAAACTCTTCAGTTTTATAATTTGCCACAGTAATAATATATGAATCCATTTTATTAATATGAAAATTACGCATTAATCAACAAAATTCTTGAGTTTAGAAAGTTAAAAATTTTACAAACATATTGATAAGCATGGGAGCAATTTCCTAGATTCCAGTCATATACCGTTAGTAACATTGCTCTACTTAGAAGCAGATATCGTCTCTATACAAAAAAAAGTTAGAAAATTAGTTCTATAATGAGAAGATAAGATGTCTAGGCAATAAAAACATTTGCACAATTAGACGGTTCGCTTCAAAACAAACTTATTAAGATAGGTCAAAATGATTATCAAAAATACTACAGCTCAGTCACGAAAACATAGTCTGCCCCGACAGCGATAAAATACTTTTAAGCGGTCGTAAAACCAGTTCATAATCATACGACATGACCACTGGCATAGCCAACCGGCATGACAACTGAACTACGCTAATTTTACGACAAATACGCTAAGATCAATAAGGAATTTCGGAAAGCTGAGTCGGATGGCCGAACGTCCCAAGGACAGATAAATATGCTA